TACTGTCTGTACGCCATGCGTATACGCCATGTGTACATGCGGTGTGTATGAGTGGTGAGTACTGTCTGTACGCCATGCGTATACGCCATGTGTACATGCGGTGTGTATGAGTGGTGAGTACTGTCTGTACGCCATGCGTATACGCCATGTGTACATGCGGTGTGTATGAGTGGTGATTACTGTATAATTGCAATCCACCCAACCGCTGGTCTCTCCCCTAATATCTCACCCCCTAAAGAAGCTCCCAGAGGGGATGGGGGGCAGCGGGGCTTTCTGGTTTTTGTAGCCCCACACTGCCCATGCCCCCCCCCCCCCCCCCCCCCCCCCCCCGGTGGGCGGGGGCGGCCGGTGCGGGGCGGGGGGGGGGGGGGGGGGGGGGGGGGGGGGGGGGGGGGGGGGGCAGCAATATGTGTGAGGGTGTGTGTGGTTGTGGTGAGTCCCTGTGTAAGATGCCTGGGAGTGTATGTGTGTCCTCGTGTGGTTATGGTGCGGCCTGTCTGTGGAGTGTCGGATCTCTGCGTGTGCTATGTGTGGGTCACATATGTGTTTGTGTGTGTGACTGCTTTTCACATATTCCTGTGGTATGTGGACGTGTCTGAGTACATGGTGTGCATCTGAGGTGTGCTTGTGTGTGTTGGTGTGTATATGCAGTATGTATTTGCCATATGAATATGCAGTTTGTATTTGTGGTGTGCCTGTGTGTGTCAGTGTGCATATGCAGTTTTTATATGTAGCATACTTGGTGGTGTATGTTGTCTGTGTCAGTATGAATATGCAGTGTCTGTTGTATGCTTGAGGGTGTCGATCTGTATATGGATTGTGTAAGTGTAGTATAAACTGTCAGTGCATATATGCAGTATGTATGAATGGTGTAAACTCTGTGTCAATATATATACAGTGTGTATGAGTGGTATACACTGTGTGTCAATGTGGATATGCAGTATGTATGAGTAGAGTATACAGTGTCAGTATGTATACGCAGTGTGTATGTGTGGTACATAATGTGTGTCAGGGTGTATACGCAGTGTAGATATGCAGTGTGTATATGTGATATAATGTGTGTCACATTGTACACACAGTTTGTATATGCAGTGTGTTGTGCAGTGTGCTGTGTATTTGCAGTGTGTGAGTGGTGAGTACTTTATATATGGCATGCGTATACGCCATGTGTATATGTAGTGTGTATGAGTGGTGAATACTGTCTATACACCATGCATATAGACATTTGTACATGCAGTGTGTATGAGTGACAAGTACTGTCTGTACGTCATATGTACATGCAGTGTGTATGAGTGGTGAGTACTGTGTATACGCCATGCGTATACGCCATGTGTTCATGCAGTGTGTATGAGTGGCGAGTACTGTCTGCACGCCATGCGTATACGCCATGTGTACATGCGGTGTGTATGAGTGGCGAGTACTGTCTGCACGCCATGCGTATACGCCATGTGTACATGCGGTGTGTATGAG